AAAACAAATAATTAAATAACAAATATATAGAATAAAATAAAAAGATTAATATGTAATAAAAATAAAAAATATTAATTTATAAATAAAATAAATATAACTAAATATAAAATATATACATAATATAGATATAGAATAAAAATAGTAATGAAAGTAATGAAATAATAAAATAAAAATTATTACAACTATTAAATATATTAAAATATTTTAAAATTAAATTATTAAAATAGAAAATATTAATATGTAACTAAAAATAAAATAAAATGTAAATGTGTGCAAGTGGACACTGAGTGGCTGAACACTGGGGGTGGAGAAAAGCCCTTCATTTCAGCCTACCAGATGGGAGGGTGTGATCCCAGACACGTGGAACACAGTCCAGTAAAATTCATAGAAGCACAGAGACATACTGTACATACTGTACATGAAGACACATGGAAAATAACAGCCACTCAGAGGCAGGAGGGACCAAAGTGTCCTCATAATACAAAGAATCACAACTGTGAGGCCAAACCAAAGTCTGAACATGTGTTTTACTGTTGAATAACAGCCTGAATGTGAAAAAATCTTATGTGCTTTAAAGAAATAATTCATCTTAAAGTGAAGATTGTCATACTTTACTCACCCTCATGCTGTATGACTATTTATTCTGCAGGAGTTCACTGTCAGGAGTTCAAAAACAGAAGAAAAAAAACACACAATAAATGCACCAAAAAATGCATGCTTTGCATATTTTATTTTCTCATTTTGCTGTAACTATGCATTCCCATACCTCTCATTATGAAAACTCCATGACTAATGAAGCCCTTATGTGACATTTTGAATTACCTCAAGGAAAAACTGCTTACACAAGACGCTCTGCCCTTGTTTTGGTGTAATTCCAGCATTCTCCAGCATGTGTGGTCTGTGACTAACCAACAAGCCTGAAGATGGAAGCCTTGAGAAAAGCTCTGTGAAATCTGGGTGACCAAAAAAGGCAGTTTGGATGAAAATAGTAACACCTCCTAACCAAGCCGATTTACTCTGCAATCATAAAGTTATGGTTACAAAGCACATAAGTCCATTTACATCAGTCACACCACTGCAATGCACGTAGACAGTTTTATGCAAAACACACAATTAATGTGCTGCAATAGTTTAAGTAACACACATAATAGTAGTATAAAGAGCTATTTTGATATTTTCTGACATTTTCTTCTACGTATTAGTCCAGGCTATTTCTATGCATTTGCTAATGTGTTCTTAGTTACTTTTAGTGCATGGCTGCTTATCAGGGCAAAACACCCCATTTCCCTATATGACCCTCCCTTCAGCACAAATCTGTTGTGTTTTTTAGCAATTTTATTGCAGTGCAAAATTTTAATACTTAGGATGTGTTCAAATGACTAACCTTAAGCATGACCAATAATAATACTGATACTTGTCTTGCATGAGTGAAGGAAAAGAACTAAGAGAGAAAACACATTTACAGCCCAGTAAAGGTTCACTTTCAGTCTATCAGAAATGAGCGCTAAATTTGACCCGGGCCCCTCATGGGTGGGTGTTTTTGAGCTGAAAACTTCCATTTCTGTCATGTATGTCAGATGATGAGTCTTGTTTTTGCTAGGGGGCTTCCCCTTTTTACGAGTGTTGGTGTCTGACAGCTCATCTCTACCTTATGCATGATCCGACTGATACAGTAAGTGATCTGAATCTGCGGTTCTGCAGAAGCACAGGAATCATAAGACACCATAGCATGATAAATGAGCTTATTGAAAGTCTCAGAGGTTCACAGATTATTCATATTCAGACCAGATGTACCGGTGGTGGTTGATATTTTTAGTTGGATGTTCTTGTCATGCACAGTCAGACTTGGTTAGATGATTGGACTGATGGTAGATCAGAACACACTCAAACATGCATGGGAAGACAAACTCTTTAAACTCTTCTGGTAAAAGGGTAGGAGCTTCACTTGGTGGATTACTCATTAGATGAATCTTCTGATTTCAGCAAAACAGCCGTCAGAGTATAAAACAGTGCCTTTTTTTCATAAAATACCCTTTATCCATCTTTGTGTCAAGACATCCGCCGATTAAACCAAACATTCCACACTTGACACTCCAGTCTATATAAATTATTATATAATATATATAAATGCTTTTGTACGCTCAAATCACACATTTTGCTTGTGCTATCTGTCTTTCGAAAATACTACTTGGTTTCATATTTTATTATCCAATGCAATAACTTTCAGACATGTTACTTAAATGTCTAAACACTGCTGCGTTTAACAGCACAGCGATTGGCTCTTTTATTCATAATATAGCTCATTTTCCTGAGCGTCCTGTTTTCAGCCAGTGCAACAAAAGCCCACATTTTAAGGCCATTCAGATCTGATTTTGACCCTGAGCCAGCTGTAAATTGATGTCATTTCATTATTTTTGTACAGGATGTAAGCATCTTAGAGGTTTCCTTAAATTACTGCTGTGCCAAATCATAGTGCTATGCTGAAAGTGACCACTATGAATCACATTTTATGGAACATTTTCATGATTTCTCAGAATTCGTTCACTTTTTTTAACATGTTCATGCATGAAATCAGTATATACTACAGGAATCTGTGATTTTATATCCAATTAAGGTAAAGTACATTTATAATCATTATCATCAAATTTATTCATCATTAACATTTCATCACCTCTCTGCATACAAACATTTGGTCAATGGAGTTTCAGTATATAGGCAATTTGCCAGCCTAATTATTTAAATCAGTGGTCTCATAATGCCTAAAGAACACTACATATATATATATATTTCATCCCAATGGAGTTTCAGTATATAGGCAATTTGCCAGCCTAATTATTTAAATCAGTGGTCTCATAATGCCTAAAGAACACTACATATATATATATATGGTTCATCCCCTTTTCAGCCATTCAAGTACATGCACACTTCCTGTTGACATCTTCATAGTGATTTCTGTTAAAGCAGAACAAATGTCTCAAAAGCAAATTATATGATGTAACCGTGACTCTCGGGGCCCTACAAACCCTGATTTTTAACATCAGGGTGGAAAGTATGCAAATGAGAACAATGTGAGAGAAACACTGATAAGCAACAGGAAACGTTCCTTTTTAATGTTAAACCTAGATGGGGAGCTTCCCTCTGAGTTGCCTGCGAGTAAAGTGCTAGCACAAGTACTGCAACAGAAAGTACGGGGTGAATACCTACATATGACATTCATGTGAAATTTCCCTAAATAGCTCCTTTGTGTAGGCTTCTTGATGAGCTTTAAGTATTTTAGTGTGAAAAACCACAAACTTGAATCGCTCCAAGAAGAACTCAAGACACATTTTACAAGAACATGCATATTAATCGGAACGATCAAGAGCACTATATACTGTACATGCAGCTTGAATGCCATATCATTTCTAAAAAACAACTAAAATCCTTTTAGAGTATTAAAACGTTCATGAAATGTAGTTTGCATTGCTAATGCATCACAGTTTTCTGATATTAAAACTGCTACCGTTTTGCATGACACAACGTCAAGACGGTCTCCAGATAAATGGCTAAAAGTTTTGGTTTGTGTGTGGCCTCCGGTTCCGTTACCTCTATGAGTGATGCATGTTTCCACAGCGCATGCCTTCTCAATAGGAGGATTTCCTCTTGTTGTTCAAAGCTGCACTCATGATTCACTGTTTCACTCGCTCTCTGTCTCATTCCATCCCTCTCTCTCTCCAACCGAGGGGGCTGTGGAGAAACGAATAAAGGGGGTTTCAAGAGCAATATGAGTAAACTGCAAAAGTCTCACCGCAGGCAGGTGGTTAGAAACACTTCAGTGGTCTCAAATGTGTGTTATTTCAGCCCTCACGCATCTTACTGCAAAGTTAGGTGACGTTTGATGGGAATCATTTTAAAAACTTCCAGATGCATTACAGTAATGGGAATTGGGGGTGAAATGTGCTTAATTGTCATGAAGCTTATGACTTCTCTATAATCTCTCATGCATGAGATTCACCTGTAAAAGCTTCATTCCAGTGGGAAACAGACATTTTCAGAATAACCGCCGGCATGTATTTCTCAATTTCTTCAGCTTGTTCCTAAAGCTGCAGAGATCAGAAGAACATGATAAGCTCCTCAACACACAGGAATGTGACAAGATACACAACAATTTGCCTGCAGGAGATTACTTCATGGAAATGTATTCAAATTAAGATGATGGCATTGCAAAATAAAGATGTTAGAGAGCAGCTTTATATATATATATATATATATATGTGTATGCATAATCTTTCCTTAAAAGGACGTAAAACTCTTGATTACTTTTTTTAATCTATTGGCAACGATAATATTTTATATTTCTGATTTGAAGGGTTTTACCAAGTAAAATCATCAAAGTATGCATGCGATACACATGTCACTGAATTAAAGGGACCAAGAAGTCCTACTAAATACTGGGACAAAGTTCAGTAGTACATGATTACAGTACTCAGCAAAGCTTGGTTTACATTCCCTGGTGACTGATATGCATGTGTGCGTATGGGTGCTTGTTTGGTAGCTGACGTATCACTATGATTTCAAGGCCAGATGACTTTCTGTGAAGAGGACAAACGAGAGTTCGAATGAGTGCATGTGTGTGTGAAGTGAATTGGATTGATCAGGTCATTGCATGAATGCCAACTCGATAAAAACGCAGGAATACAAAGATAGCAGTAAGTCTTGGCTCTGGCATTATATGCGCTCTGTTCCATTCCAGGGAGTTGTTTCTGAGAAGTTGGATTTCGCTGTATTCACCATGTGGCACACAGAACCCTATCATAGAAGTTAGTCAGAACAAGTCCTGATGTGACACGAGCACATTCTCTCTGGATATGCGTTTTCATTTGGTCAGATAAAATTATCTTGATGTCCAGATAGTTCCTCGAATGCTGGGTGCCGAATTTCAAGCATGTTACAGGAAATTTGGTTTTCAGGTAATAAAAAACAACTCATTTGTCTAAATTCATGAATTGCATTTCTCTTACACATTGGCAAATAGTTGCCCACCCCCTTCCCCTTTTAAGCATAAGCCACAATAAATTTAGTGCGATTTATGCTTAATAATATTAATAATTAGCCAATGGGATAAGAAAAATAAAGTTAATTCAATATATTTTCTCATAATATCTTATGCTGCTTTGGTTCTCATGTACATTTGCCTTGTTTTAACAGTGTTTAGACCATTTTAGTGGAAAACAAGACAAAGGTATTGATTAAAAATTATTTTCAGTGTGATTTCACTAATGGAAATTTAGTTACTAATTTAAATTGAGTTAATTGAGTTAATTTTAGTTTCATAATGTCTGATTTCACAACACGTTAATTCAATTTACTTTTAATTTGAATATTCAAAATATGTGTTCTCGTTTCTTCTGGCATTTTTTTCCCCCAGTTTAAAAATTAAAATAATATTATTTTATACAAATCATAATCAAATCAGCGTATGCTCTTTGTAGGTTTAGAAAAAGTAGTTTTGTCAAACATTCCCTGTGTTTAATAGTAAAATGTGTAAATGCTTTTCTTAAAAGCCACAGTGAAACCCCAGTCCACAACTCATTGTACTTCTGTAATACGATGTATTTCTGAGTAAAATAAAATATTTAATGAGAAAAATTTTGATCAGAAATTGACTGGATCATAATTTTTTTTATATTTTTGCACTGGACTAAGACTTTTCTAAAACATAAAATAGTTATTTGGCTAATGGTTAACATTATGTGACGTCAACGGAAAAGGAGAGCCAATTGAGATGCCGAGTGAGATTATGAAGACAAAAAAAATTATTTGGAATAACATTCACCAATGAATCATTCACAGTAAGACCAGAAATGTATTGTAAATAGTCAAAGGATCAATTTAGATTTTATGTCGACTTCAGACCCGTCAGATTTGAATGTGTGTGCTGTGTGTTTCTGGCACGTGTGTGACCTGTCAGAGGGAACATGTGCGTGGGTGATTTGTGGGAAAATGTCCTGTGACAGCAGCATGAAATGGGCTGAGTGACAGCGGACAGCTGAGGGATGTGAAACGAGACAAAAGGACAGTATATATGTGGCGGAGTGCGTGAGTGTGTAAGAGGAGAGAGTGTGTGTGTGTTCAAGCACCTGTGTATCTGTCTGAGTCTGCAGTGGGGCAAACCATTTCACATTCCTCAGACGCAGTTGTGTTTTGAGTGATTTATAGTTCGTCTGAATCAGTGGCGAGTAAAAGGCATGATTACAGAACATTATTTACATATGGAGATACAAATGGTCACGACTGTGGATGAAAACAGATCATTCACTTAATGACCGGCTGCAAAAGACATCTTATTTACAGAACATCAAACCGAACTTTATACTATAAACCAGTTAGCCCACATGAACCCATTCGAGCCTAACTCACCCTCATGTTGCATTATTCTATAGAACGTACAGGCTGCTCTTTTCTGTTAACTGAAAGTATATAGGGACAGAAGCTGTTAAATATAAACAATCACTGAAAAAAAACAATCACTGAGTTGGAAAAAGGATCACCCCCTCTTAAAAATGACTTGTAAACTCAATCAGGTGTAGCTAATCAACTTCTCAATGGCACACAAAGCCATTTGACTTTCAACTGTGATCAGCTGTGCTCATTTTGATTAGCTCAGCATGAAAAGAGCTTTCCTGGAGCATTTCAGTCCTTGGTAGTGCAACTGAAGCAAACAATCAACTATGGATGGCAAGGCACTGTCAAAAGATCTCGGGGATAAAGTTGTGGACGGGCACAAGTCAGGAGATGGATACAAAAAAAATTTCAAAGGCTTTAACAATGCCTAGAAGCACAATGAAGTCTATTATTAAGAAGTGGAAGGTATTTACAACACAGACCCTCCCTGGATCATGACGTCGCTCCAAACTGAATGAAAGAGCCAGGAGGAAACTGGCCAGAGAGGTTACCACGAGGCCTACAGCAACTCTGAAGCAGCTGCAGGAATTTATGACAAAGAGTGGTCATTGTGTGCATGTGGCAACAATATCACAAATTCCTCACAAACGTGGCTCGTATGGGAGGGTTGCAAGAAAAAAGCTACTCCTCAAGAAAGGCCACATGCAGTCAGACTGAGCTCTGCCAAAACCCACCTTGAAGATTCTGAGGCAGATGAGACTAAAATTGAATTATTTGGCC